CATCATGAGAGACTACAGAAGAAAGGAAAATGGGGGGTGGGGTTGTCTGAATGTTTTTGTTTTGTTCTGTTTTTGTGCCTCAAACAGCACCTTTTTTTCTGGCTTTGAACAAAGAACCTCACGTTGTCCCTTTGCCCCGGGTTCGCAAATTATGCAGCCAGACCCGAAGGGGCTGCAAGCGCAAGGCGCAGGGCAGGACCCGCAGCTGGCCGGGTCTAAGGGGGGTGTTTCAGCTTTCCCTGCACTGATGGTGGACGGCATCTTTGCCCTTAGCTAAAATACACTGTGTTTCTGAGTCCCAAAAACAAATAAACAAATGTTCCCTTTGGAATCCAGAAGTCAGGAGACCAGTCTCTCATGGCTCATTCCTGTACGAATGAGCCAGCCACCGCCTTGCTCTGTGCCTCAGTTTCTCCATCTGTCCCAAGCTGATAACTGTGCTGTAAGAAACAATGTCACCCCAGGAGCCTCAGCCCACGTTCTGATGTTTGCTGCTGCCTCTATAACTTCACTTGAACTATTTCCTCGAACCAAACCTACAAAATATTCAGTAATGACAAAAAGGGAATGGAGACTCAGGAGCCCGGAGGCCTGGAGAAGTAGGTGGGGGTGGGGATGGTAAGAGCGTCAGGGAAGAACTCTGCTGAGTGAGGACAGGCAGAGCAGACTGGGAAACAGAGGAAACCAAGGCGGTCCAGCCATTCCAATCGCCTCTGGAGGTGCCCGGGCGACAGAGGTGCAGCCAGATCTCCCCACACCTGAGAGAGAAACGGATGCCTAACCACTCCCTTCCTAGTATTTCCCGGTTTTCCCGAGGACCCAGCACAGTCTGCATTTCACAAGGCCCTGCCTGGGGTGCGTGGTGGACACGGATGGATCAAACCAAAGTCACCTTCAGCGGATGTGCTCATACCAGGGACAACTCATCCCTTTTCTGTCCCAGGAGGAGAAAGAGAATCTTTGGACCACAGGGCTGCACACTATCCATCCATCCATCCATTCATTCATTCAACAGATATGTGTAAGACCTACCACGTGCCAGGCACTTTCTAGACATGGGGAATTCAGAAGTGATCAAGACTCAAAGTCTCTGTTCTCCTGATTCTCATGTACAGTTGGGAGCCCTGGCCAGGGAGCATCGCCCCAGTGGGCCAGGGTTGCGGGTTCGATCTCTGCTCAGGGCACATAAAGAGGCAACCAATGAATACATGGGTGGGAGGAACAGCAGGTCAATGCTTCTCTCTCCCTCTCTCTCTCTCTCTCTTTCTCTCTTTTTCTCTCTCTCAAATCAATACATTTTTTGAAAAATGAACATAACACCAGGAGATTATGTTCTCCTGAGAGCAGCCTCCATCCAGTGAGGGAGTGTCTGTCCTCTCTGTTCGGAGGCACGAGGGAACAGGGTATGGGGAGGAAATCGGACCCGCACTCAGCACCAGGGACTGGCGAGTTATCTTCCCGCCCTCAAGGCTCTCTGGGATGGATGAGAGTTCAGCACGAAAGAACATCAGCTTGGGTTGAAGAGAGGCAGGTTCTAATCTTGGCTCCAACGGACTCCCTGCATCAACAACCTTCCCTGGGCCTCAGCCTCTCCGCTCATAGAGCATGGGTCCCCTCGGTGGTTCTCCCTGGCAGTGGAGAAGCCCCAGGGAAAACTCAGAAAGTGGTGTTGGGCTTTGAAATGATGGCAGAGGCCCACTGGTATCCAGTGGGCGAGGCCAAGGATATCAGACATCATGTGTTGCCCCGACAACCTTCACACCTAACAACCAACAGCCAACACGCTGCACGACTCAGAGTGTGCCAGTGACGTGCATCGTGCCGCCACGGACATTCGTGTGCACGGATTTGCGTGGATACCCGTTTTCGGTTCTTCCGGTTCTACACCTAGGAGTAGGATTGCTGAGTCACACACTGATTCCTTGTTTAACTTTCTGAAGAAGCGCCGGCCTGTTTCCCACGGTGGCGACCTGTCCGCACAATGGAGCATCACTGAGCCGTGAAAAGAAGCGAAGCGCTGATGCGTGCTACCACGGTGGATGGACCTCGGAAACATCACGCTAAGTGAAAGAACCCGGACACGAAACGTCATCTACCGTGGGAACTATGTGTGTGTGGCACCCAGAGAAGGTGAATCTCTAGAGGCAAAAGGCAGGCGGGGCGCTCCCAGGGGCTTCATTCAGGGAAAGGGGAAGGTGGGTGATTCTTAAAGGGAAAGGTGCCATTTGTGGGGATGGAACGAGACAGAGGTGGTGGCTGCACAGCACTGTGGGTGTACTGAATGCCACTGAGTTGTGTACACTTCAAAATAGTTCAGAGCTACGTTTCTGTTCTGTGGATCTCACGTCCACTTTTAGGGTTCGTCCCTGATGGACGGAAGGATAATAGTGTGAAAAGCACACTCCTGGCACCGGGGACACCTGGGTTCAAATCCTGGCTTGGAAGCTCTGTGGCCATGGGCAACTGGCCACTTGGAACCTTGGTTTTCCCTCCCCTAGGCAGAGGGTTTAAACGAGGCAGTGCAGGTGCGGGGCAGAGCGCGGTCCCTGGCACGCTGGAGGGGTCCCGTAAGTGACGGTTTGCTTCTCTCCCTTTCCCACTATCTGGAGCCCAAAGAACCAGGAGAGTCAATAGCCCTTGGGGACAGCAGCTGTGCCAGCTGGGGCAACCGAGAAGGGCCGTGAGCTAGAACAGGATAGAAAGGCCAAAAATCGGGGGGAACCAGGAAGCCAGAGAACATGGAGAGAGCCGTGATTCAGAAAGGCAGTCAGGGTGACGGGCTAAGGTCACAGGCCCCTCCTGCCCTTGGTTTGCCCGTCCGGGGCCATGGCTAGCGCGTGCTCCCAGCAGAAGAAACAGCTCCGTGAGTGATAGCTCTGCCAAAGGCTGTGGAAGATACTGGCCTTTTAAATATTCAGATCTCCAGGGAAGCAAGAGGGCTGAGGGCTGGCTCTCTTTCCTTCCAGGAGACCTGGGCTCAAGAGTACCCCAAAAGGTGAGTGCTCTGTGCCGAGTGTTATCTGCTTCTGGCCACCAGGAGGCCCAGGCCCAGTGCCTGCTGAGACTCTGTGCCTTCCTCGACCCAAGCTTTCTCGGCGTTGTCGCTCTCCTCCCCTGCCTCCCCTCACTGTTACTTGGATTCTTTCTGCTCTTGGGTTAATGGGCTTTACTGAACCGAGTCCTTTGTAAGTCTGCTACCCTTTGAAGTAGGAGGAGTACACACAAAGAAGCAAAGGCCAGCTACCTAGTGTGTGGGGGACCTTCGTTCCTATCCAAAGGCAGAAGGGGGTAAGAGGAAAGGGAAATGAGAGAGGAGAGGGGGTTGGGGATGGGAGCGGAAACCGGCACCTGTCAACACGACACCCCTGGGGAGCAGCGGGCTCCTCTGTAAACCCCGCAGTGTGCCTGGGGTGGCGGGGTCTGCAGGGTGGCGGAGGGGCCTGAACGGGGAAGGGGGCCTTACAAAGGCCGGCCTGGCGCCTCAGTCCGGGTGCCAAATGCCCAATGCTTGATTTGGGACTCAACTCCAAGTCAGAGCTTCAGGCTCCATCCAGTGGCTATTGAGCAGATGACAGGATAAAAGAGAGAATGGGAGGGGAAAAACCCCACACAAACAAACAGATGGCAGTCCCTGCCAGCGCCAAAGGAGGGAGCCTTGCCCTTGCCCTTGGTGCCACCCCATCAGGTGACCTCCTCAGTCTAATCAGACCCCCCTAGGCAGCTGCCTGACCCGAGTGGGCTTCTCCCACCGTGTGATCTTGGGCAGCTCGCTCTGCCCTCTAGGCCTGGCTCCCCAACTGTAACATAAAGGGATTGGGCAGATGAGGTCATAAACCACGCCCTGCGCTTAGCACGGTAGCCGTCTAACCCTCAAATCCAGGTACGTCTCAATCATCCTGTCCCCACAGACTCCCATCATGTTCCCACAGACTCCCATCATGTTCCCACGTCATTCACCTGTAATTCATTCACCTGCAAAACCCTCCGTGGCCACCTGCGGAAATCCCAGCCACAGGTCAAGGCTTGGCTGCAAGGTCTGTAAGAGGGGGGTGATAAAGGCAATGATTCCTGCCTCACAAGGTGGTTGTAAAGATGAAATGAAAATGCCTGCAAATCGCTGAGAGCAATGCTCAAGAATATGTTAGCAATTGTTATAAGAAGAGCTGATAGCGACCACTAATTGGGGGCCTAAGATGTGCCCGGGGAAAATGTCAGATGGCTTAGAATACTTTCCTCAATTCTCACCCTCGCTCCTGGGTGTGGGGGGTGGGGGGGGGGGACCATGTCAATCCCCATTGTACGGATCCGGAAACAAACCCAGAGCAGTTTGCCCACAATCACTCCAGGACCGGAAGCAGTTTAAATCTTTGCATTTTCTTCCATGCGCTTGGGAAGTGGTATTGGTCTATGATCTTTACCACAGAGGGCTGGTTTTAGGGGTTTTGTTTCCAGGAGCAGAGGCAGAGAGTGTGGGTCACAGGCTGGGCAGGCAGAGGCCTGCTGCTCTGTGCCAGAGGTCCTTCTCTGCTTCCTGCCTAGTGCAGGAGGGAGATAAAATCCAGACGAAACTCACCTACCTATCCAGCCCCCACTCAGTCTATTAGGGGCTCAATTACTGCCTTCTATTTCCTCACCGACTTCCCCCGTCCAGTTCTAGCAGCTTTTCAGCCAGGTTTGGGGGCACTAGGAGACTGGCACGGCCAGAGAGTGAATCGTTCGATCTTCTGGTGGATGGAGGGGCGCAGACTTGCGCAGACCCCAAGGGTTCCTGGGGAGCCCCCTCCCTTCCCGCAGCTTGCAGAAGGAGTCGTCTGTTCTAGGCTAAATAAACAAGGAGGGGGAAGCAGTGCCCGGTTCCCTGGCCCCCAGGCCGACCCCCGCACAATGCGCCTTTCTCCAGCGGAGAGCGGAGACGCCGCTCGGGCGCCGCCGGAGCGCGCTCCGTCTGGCCTCCCCTCCCCCTGGCGGCACAGCAAGACCCACAAACCGACCCCGTGGAAACCAGATTTTTTTTAAAAAGAAAAAGAAAACAAAAAAAGAAATCCAACAAAGAACTGAGCGCATCATGATGCACGTGACAAGGGCGTGCGGATCTAGCATGCGCCCCCGTCCCCCGCAGTTAGGCTTGCGGTCCCGGAGAGGCCAGCTCGAGCGCAGTGCTGGGAGCCTGCCAGCCCCTTGTCTCCAACAGCCCGAGCCCCAGGGGCTCAGGCGCACGCGGCCCCCGTGCCCCGATGGCGCACGATGGCCCCCACAGTCCTCGGAGCCGCCCCTGCCCGGGTCCCGGCCACCGTGGCCCTCACATATGGGTAGCCAGCTGGTTCTCCAGATCCTCCAGTCGCGCTGTCAGCTGGGCGAGTGAGCTGTTAAGGAAGTTGTTGGGGATCGCTAGGGTCCCGGCCCCCTCACCCCAGCTGGCTCCCACATCCCCAAAGGATATGGTTTTGAGTCAGACTCTCGAGCGCCCCCAGCGTCCGGCCCTGGAACTCCACGAGGCTTTCGCATTCACAGGGACTCCGAAGCTCCGTCCCCGCGCCGATGCCCTCCTCTGCCAGCCGGGCACAGAGAGTTGGAGGAATAAGAATCTGCAGGAGGACCAGTCTGCCCGGGCCTTGGCCCTCTGATATACCTCCACCCAGCCTGTGGGTGGGTGTATGAGTTTTGGGTTCAAACAGACCTGGGAAGAGTCCCAGCTACATAGCTATGAGATATTGGAAACCTCGCCCGACCTTCCTAAGCCTGAGTCTCCTCATCGGTAAAAAGGGATTCAATGAGGAAACCCATTCATTGGCTGGTGCTGAGGATTCTATGACCTGCGTGTGCACATCTTGGGAAGAGTGTTTCTCCAAACTTCATGTTCAGAATCACCAGGAGACCTTGTTAAAATACAGGCCGTTATTCAGAACAGGGAAGGAGCTGAGATGCTCCCAAGGGCCACTGAGGCTGCTGGTCCGCGGGCCGCGCTGTGAGGAGCAGGAGCGCACAGCAGCGCTCTCCAAACAAAGCTGCACGCAGTGACAAAATGTTCCGTGTCAGCCCCTTGCGGCGCGGTAGCCGCAAGCCCCGTGTGGCTACTTAACACTTGCAATGTGGCTAGCGTGACTGAAGAAGTAAAATCTGAACTTGATCTCATTTTAATTCATTTAAATCAAATGGGCACACCAGCCCGTGGCTGCATTATGGGGGAGTGTGGACCTAGAGCGCCGCCTGGCACAGCAGACACCCGAGAGAGTGTTTGGACTAGAACAGCGGTTCTCCGAGTGTGGTCTCTGGCCCGGAAGCACCTGCACCGTCTGGGAAGCTATTAGAAATGCAAATCACCAGACTCCGCCCCAGACCTCCTGACTCAGAAACACCGGGGTTGGAGCCCAGCCATCTGCTTTCCGCCAGCCCCCCTGCAAGCTGCGTTTTAACTTCTGGGTGAGACGGATGCACACTAATGTCTAAGAACCACTGATCCGAGTCTACCTCCGACACGTCTCAACATCTCTAACAACCAAACAAGTGCCTTACGATGAAATGTGGCACCTGCTTTTTTCTTAGCTGTATAGAAAATAACGGTGAACTTGACAATGGTTGGTGTCTTAGATTCGCTGACATTCTGTACACATGTGCCATTTTTAATGTGACGGCGCAATGCCCAGGCCATGATTTAAAAAGGTATTTCTCAACCTTGCATATGCCCTAAGCAAACTGCTGTCTTTCAGGGCATTAATGGTACTGAGGACTGTCCTGAAAAATCTCTTAACTCCGCAGAGAAGGAAACCAAGGGCCAGAGAGGGGGGAGGATCTGCCCAAGGTCATGCAGGCAATTAGTGAAGAGCCTCAATCACAGACGCAGATTTCCCTTGGAATTCTAGAGCTGGAGGCAACCTGGGGCGGCCAGCACCCTCCCCTGTTACAGAAGAGGGAAGTTAAGGCACAGGTGGGGGTTAAGTGACTTGTCCAAAGTCCCACTGTGTGGGACATAAAAGCCAGGACAGAAAGGGCCCTGAAGGAGCAGTTAATCCAGTGCCTCCACAATACGCTGGCTAATTATTAGAATTGACGGGGGGGTGTACCTGTGTAGATATGTATATGCATATACTACGCACATGTATGTCTGTGTGTACAGCTGACCCTTGAATAAAGCGGGGGTTAGGAGCCCTGGTCCACTGCATGGTTAAGACTCTGTGTACAACCTGAGTCAGGCCTCCGCAGGGACAGACTCCCAGCTGCGGATGGAAAATACAGTTGACCCACGAACAGCATGGATTTGAACTGGGCAGGTCCACGAATATGCATAATTTTTAAATCTACATATAAGTGGACTTATGCAGTACAAGGGCTGTTCAAGGATTAACTGTGTGTGTATGAGTGTGTGTGTGTGTGTGTGTGTGTGTGTGTGTGTGTAGGATTTCCCAGGCCTGGCACAGCCCTACTGAACCCAGCTCTGGAGGCAGGGCCTGGAAATTTGAAAGAAGAGTCGCATCTTAGCATAGATTCTCTGGTAACACTACCTCCCGGAATCCCCCACGGGGCCTGCACAGCACAGCACCCAGGTGTGATGGCCCCTTCCCCTCCACAGAGGGCGCTGTCCCCCTTTTCTTCAGCGAACGCCGGATGGAGCAGACGACCCCAGTGGCGGGCTACATCGTGCGAAAGAAAGCTCGTAGCTCCGTGCACTCGACACACGCGGGGTCCTGCCACTTTGCCAGGTCTGTGGGGTCGACTTCCAGAAAGTTAATAAAATCTACAATGTGACTCCATTTAGAAATGCTGGGTTTGGCGTTCCTTTGAAAAAATTCCCTCAAACTTCTGAACACCTACTAATTTGGGGGACAGGTAGCTTAGTCTAGAGCTTTTTAAACTTTAACATACACAGGAGCACCCTGCGGGGCCTGTTGAAGTGCACAGCCTGACTCCCGAGGGCTGGAGACAGTGGGAACGCTGCGGTTCCGCGGGGGCGTGGGCCCCACTTTGAGTAACAAGGCTTTGTCCAGGGAGCCCCTGCCTTGGCTGTAACTCTAGGAAAGGGCTGGGGCGTCAGCAGTCAGGGGAGAGCGCAGAGGCTGGGCAGCGGGAGGAGGGAGGGGGGGGGGGGGGGGGCTCTCCAGCCGGATGTGCTCACCAGGGCAGATGCTGCCTTTGAGGTTCTCCAGCAGGTGCGTCATGGTGCGGAAGTCGGGAGAATAGGACACGTGCAGCTCCGCGGGCTCCGAGGCGATCTCACGCAGCTCCTCCTCCACAGCCTTGCCCACGCCCACGGCGTACATGACGATGCCTACAGGGGAGACAGGAGGTGCCCTAGATCTCAGAAAAGCCACCCCCCCCAAGTCCAACCCGGCCCCCAGGCCAGCGCGTCCGGCACCAAGCCCACCTTCCTCCTTAGCGCGTGCTGCCCACACTGAGATGTCATCCTGGGAGCGGCCGTCGGTGAAGACCAGGCCCACGCGAGGCACGTTGAGGACGCGGGGTCGCGCGCCCTGCGCCTCGGAGAAGCTGTGTTCCACCATGTGGCGCAGCGCCAGCCCGGTCATGGTACCGCGCTCCATGTACTCCACAGCCAGGACCGCCTGCTTCACCTCGGCCGCCGTGCCGTAGCGGCCCAGCGGGAACTCCGTGCGCACCCGGCTGGAGAACTGCACCAGCCCCACGCGCGTGCCCTCAGGGGACACGTCCAGGAAGTCCACGATCTGGTTCACAAAGCGCTTCACCAGTTCAAAGTTCTGCGGGCGCACACTCTTGGAGCCATCAACCAGGAGAACCAGGTCCACGTGGCCTTCGCGGCACCCTGCGCAGTGAGGGGAAGGCAGGTCTTGGAGGGGGAAACCAGCACTTTGGCCGGCAGCAGCTGCCTACGCGTCTGGGCGTTGGTTCACACACACTGACTGCGGAACAGACCCCACGTGCGAAGGCCTCCCCCTGCCGGGCACTGGCATGACGCGCTATTGTTACCAGCATGCCATGTGAACCTCCGCCATTTACTGAGTGCTGAGTACAAGCCAGGCGATCTGCTGAAAGCATCTTTTTAATAATGATGATAATGACAATGATACCCATGACCACATGAGTTACCGTTTATTGATCATCTACTAGGTATCAGACAGAACTCTAAACACTTTACTGGTATTAACAATGCTAAACAAAAGCTGACAGCTGACCATGCGCCAGACACTGCACTGGGTGCTTTAAATATTTTTTCTCCATCTTCCCAATAACCTTGGGGATTGTCCCCGTTTTCTACAGCCTCAGGTTCTGAAGGGTCAAATGCTTTGATCTGGATTTCGTGGCGAGGAATGGCTGGGCCAGGATTTGAAACCAGGTCTCTCTGACCCCGAAACCCGTGCTCCCAACCCCTCTGCCCTGTGGACTCTCCCGTGGTGAGCCGGGGACTTTGCTAGCCCTGAAGAAGGTCCAACAATCAATGCAGCGTAATCCTGACCCGTAAGGAAACCAGGGCAGAGCAGAGTCCTCGGACGTGCCGCGTGTCACCGTTAGGGAAAATGCTAGAATAGAGGGGCTTGCAGAGACAGCCCATGGGAGGAACAATTCATTTTTCCTGGAGGTGGTGAGGAAGGCTGCACGGAGGTGGTGACATTTGGCTTGGTCTTCAAGGATGGGCGGGAGTTCTCCCAGGCAGGAAGGGACATTCTAGATGGCGGGAGCAGAATGTGCAGAGGCAGGGAAGCTGAGAGCTCTCGACACGTCCGGGGGTGCCCAGGACAGCGTGGCTACAACGTTCAGACGGGTTTACAGGGTTGGCTGAAGCCAGACTGTGATGGGCTAAGGCGGTGGTTTCAAACACTTGACCACAACCCACAGTAAAAATGATAAAAATACATCGTGACATACTGCATCTCATCAAAATTAAATTCATGAAGCAACGCTTACTCTTTCTACATGCTGCAAACTCTGTTTTCTCTCACTTCCTCTTTTTGAGATGTTATTTATTTATTTTTAGAGAGAGGGGAAGGGAGGGAGAAAGAGGGGGAGAAACATCTATGTGAGAGGGGAACCTCGGCTGGTTGCCTCTCATACACAGCCCGACCGGGGACCGAACCCGGAACCCAGGCACGTGCCCTGACCGGACATGGAACCGGCGACCTTTCACTTTGCGGGCCGACACCCAACCAACTGAGCCACACCGGCCAGGGCTCTCTCTTTCTTTCTAATGCTGGTTGTATCCACTAATGTGGCTGCACCCACCATCGGAAAAACTCGGGGGTAAGGCATTTGGTCATAGTTCTGTAGGTACTGGTGAGCCACAGATGGCCTTTGAACAAGAGAGAAGTGTGATCGAATGTGTATTTTAGGAGTTAACCTTGGCAACAGGGTAGAGAATTGAGGCAGGGCATGGCACACCCTCCACCCCCGTCACCACCACCCACACCCACACATTCACACCACATGCACACCAGAGTCAAGGACGCTCTGACCGTGAGCAGGGAGGCAGGGACAGGCAGAACCCCCTCCCACCCATGACTCACGGCTGCAGCTCTTGCCATCTGCCTGGAGCTGCCGCCCATCAGGGCACAGGCAGTGGTAGGTGAGGCCCTCACTCACGCACTGGAACTCACATCCATGGTCCACGCCATTGCAAAGGTCCCGGGCTTGAAGGAGAGACAGGTCAGGATGAGTCAGGGTGGGCTCCGCCAACCAAGACGCCAACCCTGCCCCTCTGCACAATGCGGGAGACCCCTCCTCACCCTGACAGCTCCTCCCATCAGGCAGCAAGTCGTGGCCCTCTCTGCAGCGGCACCGTGGCCCGCCCAGGGTGCTAACGCACTCCTGCTGGCAGCTGTGGTTCCCGAAGCGGCAGTGGTCAATGACTGGAGGAAGGAGGGGGCAGCGAGGCATCACTCCTGATCGGAGCCATCAGGGACTCCGGCCTAGGGTGCTAGTGCGGGGAGGGGCCTCGCTCGCCCCTTCAGCTCCCCTGGTTCTACAGGAGCACAAAGCCAGCTGGGCAGTGACAGAAATGGGAACCTGGGGAGATTACACAGTGGTGCTCACAGCCCTGGTGCCCCCGTCACACAGGTCAATGACTGGGAAAGAGGGGAGGCCGGCATACATCTCGGGGCTTTGCTTTTCAGCCCTGACAGCACAGCTTTTAAAAAACACCCATGCCTGGATCCCAGTTCCCGAAGATCCTGACTTCATTAGTCTGGGGTGGTCCCCAGACATCTGCGATTTCTGTAAGCACTGGCCTCCTTCCTCTGGGCCAGGTGGCCCTGCCAGCTCAAGCCCTCAGAGGGTCCCTTACTAAGCCAGGAATCCACAGACGACAGGGTCCCTGTCCTGAAGATGCTCACTGGCTAATAGAGGACCAGACTCCGCCACTTTACCGGCCTGAGCCTCCATTTCCCCATCTGCAAAATGGGAATGTAACGGAGGAGAGTGGTCGCTCTTCACAGCTTCCTTCCAAGGGGGGTACACGCTGCCCTGTCAAGTATCTTGAGGCGGTAGAGACCCAAAGATGCCCAGAGCAGCCCTGGGCAGTGGGGCCGGGGAGAGGTGAATTAGCCCACACCCAACAGTGAGAGTCTGAGCTTTCTAGAAAAGAGACGGGAGTGGAGAAAGGAAGAAAAAGAACAGACAAATGGTGTGAAGATGAGTGACTCTGTGGGTTGAAGGTGCCAGTAAACAATCCCCTGTGGAGGGGTGACAGAGGGCTTTCAGGGTCAAGGGTGCCTCGTAACAATTATAAAAAATGGATGTTTCCTTTTGTGTGTGTATGCTCGACTTGACTCAGATGTAATTCACACCTCTGTTCACCCCCTCTTTTGTAAAACGGGAATATGAAGGAAACTTACATACACACACTTGCCCTTGTGCTCACAAGTGTGTAAACCAAGGAAGAGAGAGGCTGATTCACACGCATGGAACAAGGACAGTGTGTGTGAGGCTGAGAAGTGGTCACGGAGGAGCCATGAACGGATTGAATCCAGCAGGAGCTCAGAGCGAGGGGAGACCACGGAAAGGAGGCACCTGGGGATTTCCCAGAGATCTGGGGGGTGCGGATTGGGATGTTCATGGGTCATCACATGGGGCTTCAAGCCAGTTTTGTTCTAGAAACAAGAAGACGCCAGAGGCCACCTGGGTTAGGGGAACCACCCGCCCTCATTCTCCAGGTTATTGTGAGCCTGAGAGATGACGTCAGCAGCGCTCCGAGCACAGCATCTGATACTGACTTGGCGCCCAGTAAATGGTAGCTGCCGCTGAGATCAAAGGCAAGGACACGCATGCACATGAAAAAGAAAGTCCCGGCTGTATAAGCCAGGCATTGTGTGCCGCGGCCTCTCAGAAGGCAGACATGAGGAGTCAGGCCTTGAAAGGCTCGCAGGTGCAGGGCAGAGCAGCGAGAGGGCCCCGGTGAGCAGCCCAGGACAAGCTGAGGTGCAGCAGGGACGGCAGCATGTACGAGGCAGGGGTGGCGGTGCACGGAGACCCTAACTGAAGACCCCAAAGGTGTCCAAGTTACGGCAACTGTGAAGATGTGCCTGGGAGAAGACACGAGCCAGTGCGGGCGGTGTGTTGGAGCCCGGTAGGGGACCACCGGGAAGAGTGGACAGGAGGGTGCAGAAAGCACGCTTAACTGTGGGGCAGAGGTTTCTAGCCGTGGGCCCACCAAGGACTTGTGTGACTCTAGGCATACCTTCCCTTTCTTAGACCTGTAACATGTGGGAGCTGGACTTTACTTCCAAAGGCCCTTCCAGATCTACTGGGCTGGTGCTGGGGCAATGGGGAGCCACAGAAGGCTCAGGAGCAGTGGGATGGCAGGGCAGGAGTCACTCTCACCCAGACAGCTCTTGTTATCTGCTGCTAGCTGGTAGCCGGGGTTGCAGGCGCAGTGGAACATGCCCGGGGAGCTGACACACTGGTGCTGGCAGCCATGTCCCCCCTCCGCACACAGATCCTTTGCTGAGGACACACAAGAGTAGAATCAGCAGGGGGCAGATGGGCAGAACCCCCCACTAAGAGACAGCTGGGTGGGGTCCAAGGCAGGAACCATGATCAAGGACGGCCGAGGTGGGCTAAGACCCGTTTGAGAAGGGCTGACCCAGGTGGGGCAGCTTCAGGAGAGAATAGGGCCTGAACAGCTCCCGCTAACTGGCTCCTAAGAGCGCGGCGGGGCTAAATGTGTCAATGGGACAGGGCAGGACTACACAGGGGTAAGATAGAAAGGTGAGAGGTGCTGAATCAAGGTGGGCGGGGGTAACTCAAGGTTGTGGGAGGAGCTAACATGTGAGTGGGCGTGGCCGTGCCATGTGGGCGGACACGACTCTTCGGAGTGGACGGTTGCTCTCAGCTTGGACCTGCGGGGTTTCCTGTGTTGGACGTTAAGCCTGTGGTGAACCACACACAGCTCATCCTGGTAGGGAGGCACGCCAAACGTTGCTTCTGGCGGGCGAAGCCTAAGCAAAAGTGAGCAGAGCTGGCACGTGACACAGCACGCGCGTCAGGCCTGAGCGATTCTACTATCTGGTGGGCGGGGATAAAGCTGGAGAGGGCGGGGGCATCCGGGAAGGGGTGGGATTCTAGGCAGTTCAGCCTCGCCCTGGCACTCTCCTAACTCACCACACAGCCGGCCCTGGAACTGCAGGCCAAACTCCTGGATGAGGTCGAAGGACTCAACCAGGAAGACATGCTCGTCCAGCGGGTGGGAAGCCATGGCGCGCAGGGAGCCCACGTCGGCGCGCTGCACCCCCACCGCATAGATCTCAATGCCGCGGGCGCGCGCCTGCGCCGCCACCTCTGCCACGCGATCCTGGGGCCTCCCGTCGGTCACGATGACAGCGACTCGTGGCACGCGCGCCTCTAGAGGACGCGCGCCTTCGGCCACGCTGAAGGCCACGTTCATGGCGTACTGGATCGCCAGCCCGGTCATGGTGCCCTGCGCCAGCGGCACCAAAGCGCGAATGGCACGCTCCATATCCTCGCGGCGCGAGAAGGCGCCAAGTCGAAAGACGCTCTGCACTTGACTCGAATACTGGATCACGCCGACGCGCGTAGCGTTGGGCCCCACGTCCAGGCCGCGGAGGATGCCCACCAGAAATTGCCGCATGGTCTCGAATTCGAAGGGGCGCACGCTGCGCGAGCTGTCAATCACAAACACCAAATCCAGGGGCCCAGTACGGCACCTGGGACCTGCGAGGAGATCAGAAAGGACTTTCCTAGGTCAGCAAAGCGTCATCTCCGAGGAGATCCCCAGGGAAACCCAGGTTGGAACGGTGCTATCACTGCATAACAGCGCCCCCACAGAATTAGCCTGGCAAATGCAAGTTAGGTACATCCACTCGCCCAGCGTTTGCTGAGGACCTGGGCCAGGAGATTTCACCAATTCTTTATCCTACAGCTCCGAGGGCTATTCTGGGGAGGCATTCACCTGCTCAGGAGAGGGAATGTCACAAACTCTAGTGCCTGCAGGGGCCAAGCAGGCAACATACATGAGTGACTGGTAGGGTAGGCTGCTGGACACCCAGAGAGCCTGTGTTCTTCCTAAAGTGCGCAGGTCCAGCCAACGGTCGCCATGCAGGCTTGTGGACCCCGTGGTAGCAGACCCTTGGGTTTTTCAAGAAAAGTCCCAAGTCGGGATTTTTATGTGACATCTCCTGATTTTTTTCAATGAACTTTTAAAACTTCAACACCAAATGGGCATTCTGCTATTTTGTTGCCTCTAAGCCACTTCCTACCGAGGAGGACACTGAGGCCCAGAGAGGGGAAATGGTGCATTGGAAGCCATCTCCGAGGGTTCCAAAGCTCTTACTTTTCTCTCCCCAGCAGGCCTAGCGGGGTGCAGACAGAACACCCGCTTTCGTTCCTCTCCCCTCGCTGGTGAGGGCTCACCTTCGAACTGGAGGTGGGTTTCCCAGGGCCGGAGGAGGAGCAGCAACACGGGCAGCGGCGAGCACGGGAGGCCCCTCATGGCAGCTGCGGGGCAGGGAACGGGGGCCTGGAGGGAGGACAGGAAAGAGCAAAACCACCGTATTTGCAGAACTCCTTCTGGTGGACGGGCACTTGGAGGTGGAGGAGGGTCATGGGTTTATTTTACTAATCTGTCTACTTTGGGGTATGCTTTCATAATCATTAACTTTTCAACCCTTGCCTGAGGGTATTTTTTTTTCATTGTTTTGAGAGAGAGAGAGGAAGGGAGAGAGAGAAGCATCTATGAGAGAGACAGAGAGCAAGAGATGAGTTGGAGGAAGGGACAACGCCCTACCCAACTGAGCTGCGTTGGCCAAGGCCATAATAATTCATTTTCATTGCAGTGAGATTTCTGGGAAACACAAGGAATTCTACTTTGCAAATAAATGGTAGGTTAAAATATACACAATTTCAAAAGAAAAAGACTTTCCTCCATGCCAGGCACCCTGTTAAACGCTTCCCCTGCATTGTGGGGTTTAGTCCTCTGACAATTCCCAAGACAGGCTGTTACGGTTGCCCTTATACAGGTTCGGAAACCAGCTGGAAAAGCTTCGACGCTGGTGCTCAGAGTCTCAGGATGAGAAAGCGGCTGCGCCAGGACACAATCCTATGCCTAGGGGTTTCCAAGGACCATGTTCCATGCCCTCGTCTCCCCAGGAAGAAAACCTCCACAGAAGGAAGCCATTCCCCACCTCAGGTACCTCGTCCACTGCCTAACCACACAAGGCGCCTCTGTGTGGCTGTCCCCTCTCTCTCTTTCACACACACACACACACACACACACACATTCAGACATTCAGACGCGCATCGCACAACTGTAGACCTCAGGGGAGGGCTGCTCGCCCTTTAGTCCTTTCGCCGTGTTGGGAGGGTAGGGGGCGGGCAGGCGCTGCAGTGGCCAAAACCCACTATGCACTTGAATTTGAGGATCTTTGGCGCCTCCACTTCCCGCCCGCTCTCAGGAGGAGCAGCCAGGGGGCGCCTCCCAAGGTCTGGCCTCGTTCGCTAGGTGGCCGTGGGAAGCCCGCATCTGCCCAGCAGGTGCCCCTGCGCAGAGCAAACAGCCGGCCGGGAGCCCCTGGGCCTTGAGATAAGCCCGGCAGGATATATCCGGCACGAGGGCCCGGGGACAGGAGCGTGCAGTGTTCTGAGGACACCGGCACTGGATGCACCCAGAGGGCGGTGAGTGAGCGGCCGGGGGGCCTCGGGACCTGACCATGGACCCTGTGGGGGCAGCAGGTGAGAGCTCACCTTCCCGAGGCCCCTTGAGAATCACACAAGACTCCCATTGTACAGAGGGGAAAAGTGAGGCCCAAGAAGGCAGCTCGCTGAGCTGCAAAGGAACCTAGGACTCTTTGCTCCCTTTCTCCTTTCTGAGCTACCTGGCAAGCTGACGTCCAGGAGACATCGAACCTCTTTTCCTTCCATTCGCTCCCTCTGCTCTCTACCCACCCCCGCGCCCCGTGCCGAAGCTGCGCTCGCCATTTCTCTACTGCTGTCTCCTGGTAGAGGGGGCCAGCCTCCCGAACCCGACCGCATCCTGCCCCTCCCCCGCAGTCCCGTGAATGGGCCTATTCTGAGCAAGGTCGAGTGCCTGCCGCTCACTCCAGGCGGCCTTCGCATCCCCGATCCTCTCCGCCTTCGCCTTTCAGGCCTGCTGGAAGAACAGAAATCCCTCCGGCAGGGTCCTTCATGGGAGGGTGCCTAAGTCAGATGTGCCAGGGTCTGGAGGTGGGAGGGTGCGGCTCGCCTCCTCTGGCTCGGGCCACAGCTGAGGCCAGCACGCCCCGGGGAGCACGCGGGTGAAGGGGCAAGGACTCTGCTACCGCTCATCCTCTCCTACTTTCAGAAGCCTCCGGGCTCCCAAATCTTGATTAAGGGCCCCTTTATCCTGCTCTTGGCTCCAGCAAACATCTCACCTAGCACCCCAACGGCACCCCAGGAACCCCAGAACGTCAAAATAGCGGCTTCCTCAAAGTTCATCACCTTTCCAACCCCCTCATTCTACAGAGGAAGGACCTAGGTCCAGAGAGGGTAGCGTCCCACCCGAAATCACACAGCAGCGTGGTGACGAGGCTGGCGCTAGAACTCAGAGCTCCTCGTAGGGGTTAGTTAGTCCGGCGTTAAATGCAGGACTTTGAAGTGCCTTTGGGGGGGAGGGAGTGGGCTTGCCAGGCAGCTCTGTGAGTAACTCGGGAGTGGACACCTTGAGGACGTTCCTGGGGGTCCCTAGGGGGACGAGATTAGGAGAGACGTCCCCGCCCCTTTTTGGTGGGCTTGCTGGTGGGGACCCAATTAGGAAAGGATGCCCCAGACGTGGGGAAGGGCACTGCAGGTCCAACGCGGGCACCGCGGTTAAGTACGGTCGCCTGGTCTGGCTGGCCGCCTGCACCCCCCCGCAGACCCCTCAGCGCCCCCAGGCCCTTTGACTCACCTGAACCTGCTGGACGACTCGGAGGTGCGGCCGCAGAGCGGAGCCGACGGGCGGAGCCTCCCGGGCAGCTGGAACAGGTAACCGCTCGGCACGCTGCCCGAGGTGGGGACTGCCAGGCAGCTGGAGGGAGCGAAGGCGGCGGCCGCATTTAACCCGGGCTGGCGGATGGGGAGGGGGAGCGCGGGCTGCGACCCCTCCCACCGGCAGGACGATCCCCCTTCCTCCCGAGGGCCGGGGCGGGGCCAGATCAGCGCCCCCCGCTCCAGTCACCCTGCAAGCGAGCCGCCACTCGGGCTGCGAGCTGCGGGGCTGGAATTCCGTGCCGCCGGAGGCTGGGCGGCTACCCTCTCCGCAGCCGGAATGCGTTGGAGGCCGCCGAGACACTTCCCCGAGGAGAGCCCCAAGGGGCGGAGCGGGGCCTGGCCGGGCCGCCGTCTGCCTGGCCCTGCTTCCGAGGGCGCGGCCCGGCTCTTGCCCTCCGTAGTCCCCTCCAGGAGGGAGGAGAGGCCTGGCACTGGTCCTGCGAAGAGGGTAAAGGACCCAGAAGATCAGCCTCAAGGTTCATGGCCCTCCCCGGCCAGACCTGGTGGTCCTTCAAATCTCTGCCACGATGGCCTCCTTCACACGTTCTCTGCAGTTGCTTGCGTCTTGGGCCCACTCGCCCTCACCCGTCAAAACTTGCGGGCTGAGAAGCCATCAGGTCCCCTAGGCTCTGCCTGGCCCACGCCAAGGGGTGGATGGAGGCCTGGGGACCAGGGGGCGTAAAAGCCGAGAGAGTAACAGGCCCCCGCGCTCGGAAGGAAGGGGGAGGGGAGTGGTACTTCCAGCGCAGAAAAACTGAAATCCACCCCCCACCCCCCCACGCACACAATTTTTGGGCCTTCCCACGTGTGCAGACGTCTGCCTGCAGGCCAGAGAGCGCTGCCGTCCGCGGCCTAGCACAGGCGCTTCCTCCCTGGCATCCACACTTCCCTGGGGTGGCTCCCCTCGGGCTGCAGGGAAAGCCACGCGCCCTCACGTACTCTGCCTCCATCCCAAGGCCAACACAAGTGCGGCCTTTGTGCCGCTGGGGCCTCTCCGCAGAGCTGCAGGATACGGTGGGCGTGGAGCCAGACCCGCAGAGTGGCGCCTGGGTGGTCCCGGTGGGCTCCGTGCAGGCCTCACTGAGCACGGCGCCGCCCAAGCATTTGGCCCACGACTTGCAAGCGTCCCCTCCCTCACCCAACACTTCCTCGCCCTGACCACAAGGGGGCACCACTAGAACTTCATCTCATTCGGCCTAAGCGCTTCGAGCTTCGCGGCGGCACCTCGCCCTTTGACACTCCCTGCTGCGGGCCTCCCAGGTCACCCCCAGAGCGCACCACAGCCCTGCGGGAAGGCGTGCGACGGTGCCTGCAGCAGCAGTGCGAGCAGACGGTGCGGATCCTGCACGCCAAGGTGGCCCAGAAGTCTTATGGAAATGAGAAACGGTAGGTGCCCCAGTGGCCCCTCCCAGGTCACTTCGGCGTCCGGGCGTACGCGCTCCTCCCGGGGCAGTATCTTTTAGAACCCGGGCAGAACCCGTGGCTTAGCTACTGACGGAGCATGGGCCTTTCCGCCCAGTCACCAGTAATGCCCACTTGGATTTCAGCAGAACCTCCTTGGGAACCTACGGCCCCCATTCATTCACTCATTCATTCATTCTTTCACTCAACAACTAGTCAAGTTGCTTGTCAAGCGCCAGGCTTTCTGAGCACTGCCGGGCACTGGGCACACAGCTGAAGGAGACGGATACAGTCCCGGCTCTCACGGCGTCTTCATTCCAGCCTGCAAGAGGCAGACAATGAATTCCCCCAAAGACCCCAAAGAGAGCTAGAAGGGAATAGAACAGTGCAGTGTGATTGGAACGGAAGGGGGGCTACTTCAGCTAGAAAGGCCAGGATCACGTGTGAACTGAGATTTCGATGTGGCAATGGAGCCAGGCAGGAGAAAATCTGGGGCGGGGGGCGGGGGAGGGAGCTATTCCGATGAGGAGGAACGGAAAATGCACGGCCCCTGCGGCTGAACCAACTGGCCTGTTCCAGGTGCAGGACAGAGTGGCTGCGGTTCGAGAAGGGAGGTTGGGGCTGTAGGGAATAAACTTGGAGAGGTGAGCAGGGGCCAGATCACGTGAGGACGCTGAACTGAAACCATGGGCGGATTTGAAGAAGACAAGTAACGGTGGAGGTGGTAAGAGAAGCCAGTGGATTCTGGATAGGCTTGGAAGGTGGAGTTGACAGGACTTAGTGAGGGGTTGAGTGAGGGGCGTGGAAAAAGAAGGCTCGGATGTGAATGGGGTTCACAGCCACGGAGAAGCCTGGGGGTGGGTGGGAAAGGCGGAGGGGGATTCTCTTGCATTTCCGCTGTCGTGGAGATGCCTACAAGATAGTCCAGGGGAGATGACACACGAGTCCAGCGCTTCCTTGTCTCCGCAGGTTCTTCTGCCCCCCACCCTGTGTCTACCTCTCAGGTCCCGGATGGAGGGTGAAGCCAGTGCCGGGCCAAGGTGAGGACAGACTCCAGGACTGGTTGCCTTCCTGGGTGAGGGGGACCCAGGCAGGAGCGGGTGGGAGCGGGCCGGTTCGCAGACGCAGTTTCGCCGCGCCCTCTGGTGGCGAAAACTAGGCTTGCCTTGGCCCGGAGTCTTGGAGTCCTTCCAGAGCGGGCGGGCGTCCCTTTCCAGCCCACCAGGCGGGCGAGACGGGGCCCACCGTCTGCGGTTACATGGGACTGGACGGCGCGTCCGGCAGCGCCGCCGAGACGCAGAAATTGAGTTTCGAGGAGCAGCCCGACTCCAGGGTGAGAGCACGTGGCAGGGGGTCCCAGTCCTGCTCCCATCCTTGCCCCTTCCTTGGCCAGGAAGGCTCCCTTACCCCCCTGCAGAAGCCGAACTATAGGTATGGGGGTCCCCCTCTCGGTAGCCAGTATAGGGGGCCTGGAGACCGAGGTTCTGCGTGCAGGGGGCCCCCGGAGCTTGGGCCAGGCCCCTGCACGTCACGCCCGACGGGGCGGACGGCAGATAACCGGGGGAGGTCGGCTCATCCCGAGGCGGACCGCTGAGAGGCGCCGGCTCCATCCCCGTGAGCCCCGCAGGAATTCGGTTGCGCCAAGACCCTGTACATCTCGGACGCGGACAAGAGGAAGCACTTCCGGCTGGTGCTGCGGCTCGTGCTCCGAGGGGGGCGGGAGCTGGGCACCTTCCACAGCCGCCTCATCAAGGTCATCTCGAAGCCCTCGCAGAAGAAGCAGTCACTGAAAAACACCGACTGTGAGCGGGGCGGGGCGGGGCTGGGTCGCGGGGCACGGCGGGGAGGTGCGGTGAGGACTGCGGCAGCTGGGTTTAGCAGGGGGAGAGGCCGGGACTGTGGGGGTGGGGTCAGAGTGGAAGAGGCGGAGTCTGGGCCCAGAGGGGCGGGGTCTGCCTGAGCTAGCGCGCCTTAGGTCTGGGAAGGAGAAGTCAGAGAAACAGGGGCAGAGAGAGCAGGGGGGCCAGATACCAGACTTGAGTGTATGTGTGTCGGGCTGTGTGGGGGTGTGTTGGGGGCGCGGGGAGTTGGGGGCCCCTCAAACGGCCGGCAGGTGCTGAACTAGAGGCAGATTAAAAGCGACAATAAAAAGACAATAAAAGTGGCCATCAAATTCAGTTAAAACATTTCCTCGGGGCCTGCTCTATGCCTGGCTCTGTGTTAGGGGCTGCATCCCTGTGAAACAGGGATCTGTTCTGGAGGAACGCACAGACCAGCAGGGGAGAGAGACCTACATAGCGCACAGAGGCAGTTGGAGATAGGCACTGTCCTGGGCGCCAAGTGACAAGGTGCTGTCACTGTTCCCACGTCGTAGATGAGGAAAACGAGATTTGGAACATTCATCCGTTCACTTGAGAAACGCCCGGGCCTATCATAGTCCCGGCGACTTGCCTAAGACCGACCAGGTAGCCAGCGGCCCAGCCAGGATTTGGACTTGGGTCAGGGGGACGCCGGTGCCCAGCTCGTACCCCTGCACCACACTTACTGTCCGTCTGTCAGGACCCCTGAAGGCTGTCTCAGGTCCGGCAGTGCTCTGGCTGGCCCTTCAGATCAGGGGGGGCCCAGGAGAGAAGAGGTACAGTGTGATGGGCAGATGCTGGCCTTGCATCCCAGCTCTACCCTTCGCTAGTGGAGTGATCGCCAGCAAGTGGCTGTCTTAAGGAGAGACATTGTCTACCTCCGAGGGTTGTTGAAAGCATTTAGAACAGTACCTGACACACACGGGTATCTATTACTCAGTGGCTGGGAACTTGGGCTAAGTATAAATTGAGCACCTACAGAATGCATAGCACTGTAGGTGATGGGAGAGAGGGAGACGACCCTGGTGCGTTCCCCCAGGTGATCAAAATCTGGTCAGAAACAAAACTGTGTCTCTGCCTCCGTGGCAGGCTGGGAGGGATGGACACCAAGTCCTGGAAGCACGGTGCCGCTGTTTCTCACCAGAGGGCCTCTGCGTGTGCAGCCCCCCAGGCCCTCCCACCTGCTTCGTGCTCCCCAGCTGAGAGTACACCTCCTCCAGGAAGTCCTCCCTAACCCAGTCCTATGACATGAGCCTGAAATTTTTATATTCATGTTCCTTTCTCCTCTCTGAGACCGTGAACTCCTCCAGAGCAAGACTGAGTCTAATTCACCCTCTTGGTGCTCGGTACTCAGCACAGTGCCTGCCAAAAAGTGCACCCTTAGCGAGCACTTGGTAATTCTGTTGACTGAACTGGTGGACACCCAGGTAGCAAGAAGCGCAGGCAGAGGGCAGAAGCAGGTCTCAGGCGGGTACACCAGATAAACAGCCGTGAAACGTGAATTCTCAGTGTGTCCAGGCCAGTGTGCTGGGAGCCCAAGGGGCTCAGGGGACAGAGACTCAGACGAGTCCGGCGCGTCCACGGGACCGAACCAGGTCAGGGCACTGCTCTCCCCTCCCTCACAGTGTGCATCTCCTCGGGCTCCAAGGTCTCCCTCTTCAACCGCCTGCGCTCCCAGACGGTCTCCACGCGCTACCTCTCCGTGGAGGACGGGGCCTTCGTGGCCAGCGCGCGCCAGTGGGCGGCCTTCACGCTCCACCTGGGTAACCGCATCGGCAGGCCAGGGCTGGGCACCTCACTTTCACTAGTTGTTTACTCTTCCCGCAGCTCCACAGGGAAAGCAAACTCCGTCCCCCGCCCCCACCCCACCCCCACCCCCGGGACTGGGGCTTTGAAGCACAAGAAGCATTGCCAACGTCCCCGGGGGTCAGGGACCGATCTGAGCTCTTCTGACTCCGATGTCCAGCCTGGTCCCCGGTTCTAGCACCCGCCCTGGGGGATGGGGGGGCGTTTGTGAGCATGGCCACGAATGACCCCTCCAGAATGAGAACCCTCAGCCGTAGCTGCCTTCCTACATGCCAGCCCTACCCCAGGATCCAGGTGTGAGTGGGGTGGAGTCAGAGGCAAGAAGGGCAGAAGGTTGGGACCCCCTGAAACCCTCCTTTCCTCCTTTCTTTTGTCTTCAGCCGATGACCGCCCTCCCCAGGGGGACTTCCCACCTCGGGAGGGTTACGTCCGCTACGGCTCCCTGGTGCGGCTCGTCTGCACTGTTACGGGCATCACGCTGCCACCAATGGTATGGGGAGGGAGGGCCCCCGAGGGAGGGCCCCCAGATCCGTGCAGACAGTGTGGCCCACGTGGGCAGGGCTGGGGGGCGAGGGTCCAAGGCACGAAGACACGTGCTCAGTTCTCTGCCAGAACACTCAGCTCTTTGTGGGGCTGGGGAGAGGTAAGGGGCTGCTGGCATGGGGGGCTGTGCCAGGACCCACGCGGCTACTGGGGAAGCAGAGAGCCGGCTGGGAGGGCGGCCTCCGGGCACCTTGCCGCCACACTCCCTGCCCCCCTTCTGTTGTAGATCATCCGCAAAGTAGCCAAACAGTGTGTGCTCCTTGACGTGGACGAGCCCGTCTCCCAGCTGCACAAGTGTGCGTTCCAGTTTCCTGGTGGCCCTCCTGGAGGCGGCGGCACCTACTTATGTCTGGCCACAGAGAAGGTGGTGCAGTTCCAGGTGCGAAGCAGAGAATATCAGCACCAAGCGTCCTAGAAAGTCAGAATGTGGAGAACCACCAACAGTTAAGACCATCAGCCATCATCCTAACAAGCTATACTGCCCCCTAGGGAGTGTTAGACTCATAGACCATGGCGCAGGTGGCAAACACAAGGTCCCCCCGGGGTCGAATCCGGCCCTCCACCTTGTTTTATCCACCCTGCACCTTGTTTCTACCCGGTGGCAGCACTGAGCTCCTTGCCCCTAGTTAAGGAGTAGTTACATTTACACAGTCCTAAAGTTACATTCGGCCCTTTGAAGGCAACCTCAAGGCTGACGTGGCCCCTGGACTATGGGGACAGAATCAGAGAATGTAGGAAAAATAGTAATAATATGACTAAGCAATACCTCTTTCCAAAGAGTATTAGAGGCATAGAATGTTGGGGTATAACGTTATAGAATGTAAATTAAAATAATAAGAGTAGTGAGTATTTTTGAACAAAGACTATTAGAATCATAAAAGTTTAAGTCATAGAATTGTGAAATGTGAGCATTATTATTATTACTATTATTATTATTTTTAAAGATTTTATTTATTTATTTTTAGAGAGGGAAGGGAGGGAGAAAGAGAGAGAAAGAAACATCAATGTGCGGTTGCTGGGGACCGTGGCCTGCAACCCAGGCATGTGCCCTGACTGGGAATCGAACTTGCGACACTTTGGTTCACAGCCCGAGCTCAGTCCACTGAGCTACGCCAGCCAGGGCTTTATTATTATTATTTTAATCCTCAAGAGAGGACATACTTGTTGACTTTAGAGAGAGGGTAAGGGAGGGAGTGGGGAGAGAAACATCAAAGTGAGAGAGAAACATCGGCAGACTGACCGCCTGCTCTCACACATACTGACTTGGGACTGAACCTGAAACCTAGGCCTGTGCCCTGACCAGGGATCGAACCTGCCACCTTTTGGTTTATGGGACGATGCTCCAACCACCTCAGCCACACTGGCCAGGGCAAGGGAAATTGTTATTAATAAATAAGCAATACTAGTCCCCAAGGAAGATGATCGCGGAATGCTGAGGGGCAAAATCATAATATGTAGAAAATACCATTACCAAGCGATTTTAGAATTGTGGAATGTTAGGGCCCAGAACTGCACAGTGTCCAGAATAGAATTCTAGAACCCTAACAAAATAGACCTTTAGCAACCAACTCACCCAGCGAAGCGAACTTAACTCTGGGAGAACTGCAGGGCCTTGCCCAAGCTTGCAGAGCAGGTAAACCTCAAAGCCTGGGACTGGAACCCGGAGCGGGAAAGGCCAGGCACTTACTGGGCTCCCCCGTGCTGCTGGCCACCATTCAGAGCTTCTGCCTGTCCCCTCGGGTGTCTCCCAGGCCTCCCCCTGCCCCAAGGAGGCGAACAGGGCGCTGCTTAACGACAGCTCTTGTTGGACCATCATCGGCACCGAGTCGGTGGAATTCTCCTTCAGCACCAGCTTGGCATGTACCCGGGAGCCGGTCACTCCGGTGCCCCTCATCAGCACCCTCGAGGTGAATCTGGGTGCTGGGGGACTCTGGCCGGCTGCCTGCGCTGGGGTGTGGGGTGCTAGGGAGGGAGGGCCTCAGGCCTTGGCCGCCCCTTCCCCCACACCAGCCGGTCCCACCCTTTCCCAGCTGAGTGGCGGCGGTGATGTGGCCACGCTGGAGCTCCACGGTGAGAACTTCCACGCGGGGCTCAAGGTGTGGTTCGGGGATGTGGAGGCCGAGACCATGTACAGGTATGGGGGCAGGGAGAGGAGGGTGCCGTCATCAGCCCTGACTGACGTCGCTGCAGTCCCAACTTCCGTGCTCTGCCCCCAGGAGCCCCCGGTCCCTGGTGTGCGTGGTGCCGGATGTAGCCGCCTTCGGCAGCGACTGGCGCTGGCTGCGCACACCCATCACAGTGGCGGTGAGCCTGGTGCGCGCCGACGGCCTCTTTTACCCCAGCGCCTTCTCCTTCACCTACACCCCCGAATACAGCACGCAGCCCGCCCCCTCGGGGGCCCCCCAGCCCGCCACCGAGGCCGATGCAGATGCGCTGCTGGAGAGCATCCACCACGAGTTCACGCGCACCAACTTCCACCTCTTCATCCAGACATAGGCGCGCCCAGCCTGGCCCCGGGAAGCATTCTTGGGTCCTAGGCCCTGCTCTCTGCTCCCTCTGCTACCGATGGAAGGGAAGGCCTGTGGGAGCAGCAGCGGAAGGCTCTGGCCATTGAACCCCGGCCCTGTGGGTGCTGCAGGAGCCACTGGCTCCTCCTTCATCATCTCCATCATCTCAGAAGATGCAGCCTCGGTGATGCTGGCTTTGCAGCCAGCCACGAGTGTGGCTCTCCCTGCCTTCACCTTTGTTTCGCTCTCTCCATCAAACAATCTGTGTCTTTCTCCCTCAGTAACTTTGTACCCTCTCTAATGGTGTGCTCCCCTCACTCCATCTTTCTCTCTCTCCCCCTCTGCACCTCCTGGAGTTTCAGCACCCCGGCATGGCCTCCAGGCCCCGAGGCAGAGGGTCAGGAGCGGAGCACCAGGTGTGTCCTGAAGCACCTCGAGCCACCTGGAGCTCTGGGTTGTGCCCTGGACCGCAGAGAGCCGCCCTTCCTTGTATTCCCTGCGGCTGGCGCCAGGCCTCATACCCGGGCCTGTGCTTGCTCTCTGCCTCACAGCCTTCGTGGCCGGGCAGGTGCCTGGGGCAGTGGGAAGGTCTTACTGTCCACACAGGCGCTTCTCTCACAGGCCCAGCAGGAGCCAGTCCTGAGGACGGGGGATCCCTCTGCTGTGCTAGTAGCACCCCCAATCCAAGGCAGAGTCCAATCTGCATGACCCACCTGCGCAAGGACAGAGGTGCCTGGTGTACTTCCCCCACCCCACCCCACCCCCACACACAGGGAGGAGTCACTGTGCTAGGAGCAGAGGGCCTACCCTCGGGGCCCTTTCTAGAGAAGACCCTGGCATCCCTGGCCCCTGGCCCTGCCATGGGGGCCACCTGTCAGCTCTGGTGATGAGTTATCCTAGGAACTACCCCCCACCCCAGGCAGCGATGCTCCCCAGGCCCAGAAGCAAACACAGGACACCCAATACAACTCTTCCCAGGCAGAACTCCTGGGATCAGCCGGGCAGTAACCCAGCCAAGGCAGGAGCTTCTCTGCCTGGGGACCCGGGCCCAAGTCATCATCCACCCCTGCTCAGCCTGCCCACCCCGTGCCTGCTCCATGCTCTGCAGGGAAGCAGAAGAACCAGGCAGTATCCTGGCTCAGGCTGCTGGAACCAGGGACACCGATATCATGGGTGCCAACTACCCTTCCCAGGCCCTGCTGGGGCTGAGCGGGGAGAACCAGTTTGAAATGTTCGTTCAGGGCTCTCACACACCCCCTTCTCTCCCCCTTGAACCCTGAGGAGGGGCCCGGTCCCTGCAAACCTCCTCCCCAGAACACGGAAAGCCCCGTGAAAAAGAAGATGCCAGCACTTCCTGAGAGGTTTGCCCTTTAGACTGGCCAAGGCCTCCGTCGGCGGCTGAGCCCGCCACGACAGGGGAGGAGAAGCTCGTTTGCAGCCCCTCGAGGCCCCTGGCCCAGGAATGCGGGGCTCGAGTAGAATGGGAAGTGTCCCCGACACGAGAGCGCACGCCAGGGGGGCTGGAGCCCCTGGCCCGGGCCGGTGTTGAAGCAGGAAGCCACTCATGAGGAGGCTAAGAGGAGTTTCAAAGCACAGCACACAGGAAGTCGGGGCTCAAGGGCCCATCAGCCGGGCCCTCAAGGGCTTTCCACGGCCACTCCGCAAGGCAGGAGTGTCGGAAGCCGAGGACCTAGGTCGGCCTGAAAACCCGGCCCAGCCACACAGCTCTGTCTGCTGCACGCCCCTCGGCACCCTGGGACCCCGGGTCCTACCTGCACGTCTGTGACCTCGGAGCTCCAGCCCTGGCCTGTCTTCTGAGGTCCACCTGCTGGACTGTCCTCGAAAGTCCTCCTAGCCCTGAGTCTGAGTCCATGAACATTAAATCCCCCCCCACACCCACCATCCTTACAGTCCCTAATCATCTGACTCCTTCCTCCACGCCCTCCCGTCCCCAAGGCCTAAGGACTGACGCCACCTCTCCTTCCCCACGCAAACAGGCTTCCTCTCCTTCCACTACTACCCTGTTCTCCCCACCCAGCTCAGATGTCACTTCCTCCAAGATTTCTCCAAGGCCGGACCTGCTACATAATGTGTGGGGCCCCGGCAGAAGGAAAATGTATGGCCTCCTGTGCCAAAATTATTAAGAATTTCAAGACAGCCACAGAGGAGCATGAAATCAAGGCCATGCTAAACACAAGGCCTGCTGTGACCACACAGGCCACATGCTTGCAGAGCAGGCCCTGGCTCCAGGCTCTGCACCTTGTGGACAATGCCTTGTGGACAGCCTCACTGGCACTTTGCCACTCACCACCCACCTTGGAACAAAGGGCTTTATGTACGTTTCAGGTGTCCCCTCTAGACTGTGAGCTTCAAGAGGAAAGGAACTAATCACTGCATATCCTGGAGGGTACATTATAATGCTTGGGCATTGAGTTGGGGCCCAATAAATACCACCAAATTGCATTGCATTGCGTTGCATTGGCTGATTATTTGGAGATTGCACGTACAAAGTGCCACCAGCAGGTGGCATTATTCCCTTTCTGAAAGTTGAGTTTTCAGGTCATTGTTAGCGTCCTTAAAAAAAAAAAAAAACTTTCTCAAGCTCTCAGGAGAACCTTCCAGGGTTGAGAATCATTGCTCTCATTCACATTTGCTCCTTGTTTTTTAATACTTTTTTTAATCCTCGCCCAAGGACAAGGATTTTTTATTGCTTTTTAGAGAGAAGGGAGAGAGGAAAGGAGAGAGAAGCATGGATTGGTTGCCTCTCATACAACCCCAGCCCTGCATGCAGACCAGGGATCAAACCCGCAACCTTTTGGTTGTTGGATGATGCTCCAACCACCTGAGCCACACTGGCCAGGTCTGTCCACATTTTTACAGATGGGGAAACTGAGGCTCTGAGAGAGAAGGCCCATGAAGCTCTGAGAGCAGGTTGAGGGCGGCCTGAGTTGAATCCCATACTCCCACTGCTGTCTGGGGCTCCAAGATCCTTCTGATCCTCTCCCTAATAGTATTTCACACTTCGAGTTAGCTGCTAGGTATAGGTAAACTGGGTGTGTTACCAGGGGCGGGAAGCGGGCGGTGGGGCACATGGAATGTGGTCAAAATCTCTGTTCCGAAACCTCCCGGCTGACCAGCCCTCGTGCTGCCTGAGGTTCCACCGTGAACAAGCTAGCCTTGCGGTTTAAGCATGGACGTCTGGGTCTCTCTCCCCCTCTCTTCTGTTTAAGTTGGGTTTCCTCAAGGAACAGCTCATAACCACAGCGTGGGTGACATTTTCAGGTGCCTTCCTCCCTGGGGAGGGTGCGGGCTGCTCAGGGGCAGAGGTCATGCAGATGGCAGCGGAGAGAGGAAGTGGTTTTAAGGGTGATGAAATCAATAAGATAATATCTAATAAGTTTGGCAGGGGTCAGACTTGACCATACTCCCCAAAAAGCCCCCCATGCTGTCAGGCTTGGCTCTGGTCCAGACCACAAGGGACAAAGTCGGGGCAGTGGTGGCACAATAATGCCTTCGGTGGTGGAGTGGCAAACACCTGCTGGAGCCGGTGCCAGCCACCTGGGGCAGGGGTGGGGGATGGGCGGAGCAGGCACCATTCTGGGGAAAGGCACGGCCTCGTGAGCGAGCTATTTATGGCTGCTTTCGATTCTAAAGTACTGATGCGGAAACCACCCTGCCAAGCTCATCCCTAAGTCTCTGCTGGTTCCAAACCTCCTCCCCAGCCCTGGCTGGGGTCTGAACGTGTGTCATTAGCCCCTTACCCTGGGGAAGGGTATCCTGGGTTTGGCTGGCTTCACCCTGGTACATACCTACACTTCTCACACTAATCACCCGTGTATATTTTCAGAGTGGTCACCTTAACGTGAAGGAATTCAAGTCTAGTGACTTCTCAGACACTGGCTACCTTGGAGTCAAAGCACCGTACTAACTACGTGAGCTTGGCGTTCTAGTCACTTAACCTCTCTGTGCCTCAGTTTCCTCCTCTGTCCATGGGGATGATAGCATTTGTTTCATGAGATGGCATGAGGAATAAAATAATTAATACATGTAAGCACTTCCCACGGAGCCTGGCCCACCATAATGATTTCGTACAGGCTAGCTGCTGTTGTGATTACTCCAGAAGCACTTTTAGAGGTAATCCAAATATTGCACCATCTCTCCCTTCGACAGACGAGGAAGCCGATGGTGCGAAGCATCTGAGTGACCTTCTGTATTAGCTTTCTCTGTTACACAACAAGTGACAGCAGGTGTAGCTGGTTAAACAGCACACGCTGACTGTCCCAGTTTCCACGGGGCAGGAGTCCCAGTGCCGCTCAGCCGGCTCTCCTCCTGTTCCAGGTCTCCCGAGGCTGTGATTAAGGGCTGTGGTCGCACAGTGGTTGGCAAAATTTATTTCCTGGTAGCTGTAGAACTCACAGCAACTCGCTGCTTCCAAGTCAATGGGAGAGCATCGCTTTTATCAGGGAGGTTCCACACCCTCTTCTAAGGGCTTTCAACTGATTAAGCCTGGCCCACCCAGGGTAATCTCCCTCTTCGCTGACTCAGAAATCAACTGGTTTGGGACCTGCGTCACATCTGCAAAATCCCTTCACTTTTGCTCTCCAGTGTAGTGACCCCCATCCTATTTACGGGTCCTGCCCACACCCGGGAGAGGGAGAGCACTGGTTGTGGACACCTGGGGCAGAAATCCCGGGGGGGTATCTCATCTCAGAATCCTGCCCACCCCACTCCCCAAACCACTGGCAAGAGGACATCTGTTTGGCCTGACAGCCCTCCCATGCACCTTGAAGGAACCACCCGTGCAAGAGTCAGTGCCTCTGGGAAGGCCGGCAGGATTGGGAAGAGACGGGGCCCGGCAGTGTCTAAGACCCACGTTGCCTTCTACTGAGCCTCGCCCCCTGCCCTCCTGGGGTCTCCCCTCCTGCAGTGAACAGGACTGACCTGTGCAACCAGCAGGCCACGGTGGAAGTGACGAGAGTGGCTGCGGAGGCGTGGCCGTAAAAGGCGTTGTGGCTCCCACCCGGCTGTCTGGGACCATTCTTTGGGACAAGCCACCCCTGCGTCGTGCGGTCACTCAGCCAGCCCTACGGGGGGCCCACGGCTTGTGGGGAATGAACACCTACTGGCCAGACATCAACACGAGCCACTGGGGAAAGCAGCTCCTCCAGCCCAGTCACACTGGAGGGGGACCACCGCCGTAGCCACCATCTCAAGTTCAACCTTGCAAGACGCGCTTAGCTGAGCTGCTCCCAAACTCCCGACCCATGGAAACTATGTGAGATATTTATGCCGTCATAAGCCTCTAAATTCAGGGGCAATTCTCCATGGCAATAAAGATAATACAGGGGCCGCCTGGAGCTGATACCTTACCTGAAAGATGGGGGTGATACAGTGCCATGTATCGAGCTCTTGCTGGGTCCCAGGACCTCATCTACCTGCCCGTCCGCCGCTGGAGCACAAAGGGAGCAGCCGGGGGCAGCCAAGACCTGCACCCAGAGGTCTCGCACCGCTCGGCACAGCCCCAGCAGAAATTTCTACGACAGTGGCATTGCAGACCATCAGCCCTGTCCCACGGGAGAGCCACCAGCTGCATGGCTATTGAGCCCCTGAAAGATGGCTAGTGCATCTGAGGAACTGAATTTTATTTTTTTTTTAATTTTAATGGATTTATTTGAATAGCCCCATGCGACTAGAAGACAGTTTCGGACAGCACAGATGGAACAGACCAGAGGGCTTTGGCCAGACCCGAGGTACGAGAAGCACAGGCCCGCTCTGTGTGCTGGAGTTCGGGAAAACTGTGTGGCAGGGTCTGGGGGGGGATCTGACACCAGACTCACTGCCTCACAGGGGGTCTGTGGGGCCTGAGCAGCCCCCAGCGAAGGGGCCCTGGGTGCCATCCTCTGATAGGCATTGTGCTTAGGAGCAGGCTCCAGAGTCCGCCCGCCCCAGTTCGAATCCCGCCTCTGCCATTGGTGGCTATGTCAATCTGGGCAAGTTATCTAGTCTCTTGGCTAGTTTTCCCATCTGTAAAAGGGGGTGCTAACAGCACCCACTTTGTGGAACTGCGACTATGAAGCGGGTCCAGGTATAAAAGGCAGGGAGAATGGGTTTGCTGGTGGTCGGCCTGGTGAAGAGGATCTTACCCACCTCCCAGGGTTGCTGAGGATCAAAAGAAGTGTGTGGAGCCTGCCCATCACAGTGCCAGCTGAGGCCAAGCAGGTGACATGAGTGACGCGGCTGGGGCGGGGGTGGGGGGGCAGATTGTAGCAGGGCACGGAACCCATGTCCAGACAGGCTCCTGCCTGTCAGCAGCTCCTAACCGTTGCCACACTGCCCGAGTGTCGTCACATCTTCTCCCCGAGAGAAGTGAGGAGTGTGGATTTTTATGGGAAATGACCTCATTTCTAGTTGGCAACTCACCGGAGGACTTTCGTCTGTTTGTTTTTTAAACAGGGTGCCGCCTAAACAAAACACGGAGGCGGGGCCTTGGCCCGAGGCTGCAGCGAGCAAGTCCCGACCTTCCCCCCTCCCCCGCAGGCCCTCCCGGGTTCCAACACCTCCGCCTCCCCGAGGGGGGTTTGGGCAGGGCGGTCGTCTTGGGCTTCGATGAGGCCAAGGGACACAGCCCAGAAAGGATGACTTCTCACGAACCCAAAATCACAGAGGCAGGCAACCTAGAAAGTACCAGGTTTTATTATCTTTTATCAAAAAATCAGTAACAGACAACAGTGTGAGGGGCTACAGGAGGTGCCGACTTCCGACATAGCCAGAGGAAAGGACACGGGGGTGGGGGCGGGGGTGGGGGTGCTGGTGGAGAAGAGCACCCAGCCAGCTGGGAGCCCTGTGTCGGCGGGGTGGGGGAAGGTGCAGGCAGTGAGGCTGATCCCACCCACCCCAGCCAGTGGGGGCAGAAGACGGCAGCCCACCCAGGCTGATCCACCAAACCTCTCTCCTCTCTGGAACATAACAAGTTCCCGAGCTGGGGCCCGATAAGCCCTCCCCACCCCTCCCTTCGCCCAGGGAGACAAAGGTCACCCCCAGCCAAGCTGGGGCTGTGACTCTCGAAGCCAGTTTGGTTCGCCAGCAGTGCGCCCCCATAGACAGATGGAGACGGTCTCCTGTGGCCCACTGGCTGCGGCAGCCCCTGGCCCCAGGTGGCAGCTGAGCACGTGAACTGCGGTGAGTGCAACTGAGGAACGGATTTTTAACTTGATGCAATTTTAATTGACTGCAATAGCCACATGTGGCTGGTGGTTACCGTATTGGCTAGCACATTGGCTGGCACAGCGCTCCAATTGTCTCTTAAATGTGGAGAAAAGAAGGAGCACCCGCCGGGCTCCAGGCAGAAGCTAGAGAGCGGGCAGAGCATCTGCCCATGCTACCCCAGCCCAGGGGAAAGGCACCAGGGACGGGGCAAGAGAAACAGGCAGAAACCCCTTCGGCCACATCAGAACTCACTCCCTCAACCGTCCAGCAACTTCACACGGGAAACATCATACTATCTCCTGAAAAAATATATTTATCTATTTTTCTAGAACCAAGAAAGAGTAACAATATATTACAAGAAAAGAGACACACATATCCTGTCATCCCTTGCATTGTATTTTGGGACCTGCTAGAAACCTAGGTCTCAGCAAAAGCCACTTCGTACAGCGGCAGCTTCGAAACGGGTCCAAGCCACGGGCAGAGAGGGCTGCGGAAGGTGCGCCTTATAAAACGGGGAGGGGGCAAAGACGAAGAAGAGACAGAGGCTCTGTCTGAGGCTATAAATAGTAAAAAATAATAATAAAAATCATATCTCCAGCTCTTCTCTCATTTTCGAGAAAAACAAACAAAACCAAAAAAAAAAAAAAAACAAAAACAAAACAAAACCCCGTTAAATACAAACTCAGCAGGTGGGGCGGGAATGTGCGGCAGAGCCGGGCCGCCTGGCACCTGTGCGCTCGAGCCCAGGCAGAGAGGAATGAACTGTAAAAAAAAACAAACCAAAACAAAACAAAAAACCCACTAAAAATAGATTTACAAATACTCTACAAATCCATTTCAGTACGAACTTTCAGCTCTTCTCCCCACCCTCCCTGCTTCCCTTCACCCTCCCCCCCCCAAAAAAAGCCTGTTTTCCGAAAGACACTTGGAAGAGCCCCGTGGCCCAAGGTGCCCCACAGGGGCCCCTGTGGTGTGGACATGGGGCCCTTGGACCGACACCTCTCAAGGTGCGGATGGTTCTAACTCCTGCTCCCAGTTCCTGGACCCGCTGTGAAAGGGCAGGGGTCGGGGGGGGGGGTGGGGAGGAAGGCCCCAGGGGTCAGCCCTCCAACAGGACTGTTAGGACAGCCCCCCGTGGGGGGGCGGTTCTGGTGAGGTGTGATCAGTACCGGCTCTACGCCCGGCTTAGATTCTAAACTGAAAGGTTAAGAAATAATCCAATCCTTGATTTGTCTTCTGAAAGGCCAAGTTTAGCCTCATGGTTCTGCTGGGACCATTGGGGCCCCAAGAACGAAGAGGCAGGCAGGGACAGGAGAAGGTGACGCCCCTCCTCTCCCTTGTCACGTAATCAGGGCTGAAGATGCTGACAGGTCCATTCCGGATGGCCCTCCCCCTACCCTAACGTCCAACCTCCACAGTCCTTCCGCTGTCCACCCCCCTCGAGTCCAAGCCAGGGCCCGGTAGGAAGCTTCAGGCATAGAACTCATTGGTGGGGGCTTTTTTGTAGATGGGTTTCTTGCCCAGGTCATAGCTGCCTTCATCCTTTTTCTTCATGCGGTACATCAGCAGCAGGACCAGGAAAATGGCGAAGAGGATGCCCACGCCGCCGCCCACAATCAGAGCTGCAGGGGAGAGGGGACAGCAAGGTGAGAGCGGCAACTCGGGCTTCGGGGGCCCGCCCCCGCCCGCCCATGGGCTCTCTCACAGTGAGACGCCATCACCACCACCTGTGCGGGGGCGCTGCTGCCTGACCTGAGTCTCACTCAGACCTCACTTATGAGAAAGGGGGTCACGGGGGTCCCTGAAGACCCCAGGGCCAGAGTGGCACGGCCACCACTCCAACCCACATCAGCCCGAGTCCAAAGCCCGGCTCTTCCCAAACTCCAGGCAGATGCCCCAGCAGCAGCTTAGCACTAACTGAGCTGGAAGCAGGAAAAGTTGCAGGCGGTAGAAACGGTCACAGACGCACACACATCTCGGGGTCCTCTTGCTGTCCCCGTGTGCACCTGTGCGCTCACCAGCATTCATTTCCACAGACAGGCAGACACACCTGCGTACACCCAGGTACACACTCCCAAACGCGGGCCTCACACAGTCTCGGGGCCGTACTCGTGCATTCTAGGTACGGAGCCTTACAACCCGCGGTTACAGCCTAGTGCCCACCCCCATCCCCCCACCTGCTGGCTGAGCCACCTGCAGCTCCCTCACCTCGCTCCTTGCGAAGTGGAGATAATAGTGCCTTTCCAGTGTGCCCTAAGAATTAAATACATTAATCCACTCAGAGTGCTTATGCTCGGGACTCAGGCACTGGAAACGTCTGTGGTTTCTCTGTCCCTCACACCGTGACTCAGGCCTGACGCAGCAGTAAATGACTCTCACAGCTGGGCTCCGGGAGCACAGCCCCGGGGCAGCTGGCCGGGTGGGCAGATGTGGGTTTCTGACCTCGGTGGATGTTCTCTGGAGGCCAGAATGGCTCACTTCCATCTGGGGCGGGGGGGGGGGGTGGGGGGGGCAGGGAGGCCTCCCAGCATGCTCTCGGTGGCAGATTGAGTCCCCTAATTCAGTCTTACTCAGGCTAAGGAGATTAACTTGCAGTCCCTGCTGCTCACACTCAGTCACAGCTAAGCACAGAGTGGGGGCCGGGCGCCGGGCAAGGAGCTTTCTCAACCAAAAGAACCTTGGTTGCTTGCTTTCTTCGGTGAGAAAGCAGCCACACGGCGCCCCTGGGAGATGTCAGGAAAAGGGCAGGGAACACCGGGAACCGACCCCATTCTAGTCGTCCTCGCCTCTCCCTCTGACAGCCCCGGCCCCTCCGGTAGGTCTGTGCTGGGACTCCCCACAAGGTCAAGGTTCAAGTACAATCTCAGAAGTGGCTGTGGTCCTAGGTGCAAACGCCAGGCCTACCACTCCCCCTGGTTTTATGACTTTGGGCAAGTGTTTTGGCTTCCCTGAGCCTCAGCTTCCTCCCCTGTAACAGTCTCACCCGCCAAACCCCAAACCCATCTGAAGGGCTGGTGTGTGAGGGAAGGGGCCGCCGGAATCACGTGGTGCTCGGCAGGTGCTGTTTCAAAAGGTGGGACTGGAGGGCCCCGCCCCAGCGGCTCCACAACGCAACTTCACGTGGAGACCACATTCTTGTTTAACTCTCTCTCCACTGGAAGATTTAGGAGAGGACAGGACTTCAGTTCTGCCTCTGGCCGTGTGTGACCCAGGGTACACCCGGGGTACCTTCTCTGGGCGGCAGCTTCCTCGTGCATAAGAAACAGTTGCTTGGAATAGATCAGTGGTTTTTAAAACTACCTTTCTGTTTTTAAATTAAAAAAAAACATATTTCACTTTAAAAGGAATAGAGCCCTTAGTTGATAAAAGCAAAACCTTATGTGAATCCCACACACAACTATGCCCACTCAAAGTGAAACTCTGTGGTTGAAGAAAGGTGGGGGGAACTTTAAAATACTTCAACCGAACAGGCTGAAATGAGAAAGACGAAGTCGTCTCCGTGGGCCCCTTCTAGTTCAACAGCATCCCCGCCCCACCCCCACCCCACAGAAGCTCAGGGACCAGGGGGCCGGGGTCAGGGCTGAGATGGGCCCCAAGTCGCCTGGGCTTATTTATACTCCCAGGGAGCCTCATCTGGAAGACCCAGGCAAAACCCTTTATCTGTCCTGGATGGAGGCAGGACGCAGGACTCTGCTTGTGTACCTCAAGCCTCCTGGGAGCTACTGGCCCAGCCGGTTGCCAGGAGACAGAGATCACCGAGCCACCACCCGGTGTGCCCACTCCCCAGGCTGGTTCATGCAGCTTGGCCCTCGGCCTGTAAAACCTGGCACAGAGGGAGTTCCCTGACAGCACCCCTCCCCCAGCTCTGGAAATCCCCGGGGCTGCCAGGGCGGGAGAGAGAGGGAGCCAGCCCCCCATCCCCGCTGCTGGCCCCACCGGGCCACGCCCGCAGCCTCACTCTCCCCGAGACGCAGCTGTCCCCATAACAGGACACTGTGGTCCAGGACCCCACGGCTCTACCCGAGGCCGGGCACCGACCCGCGCTAGGGCTCGTTTCCAAACTGTCACATGGAGGTTCCCTGTGCACCACCTACTGCGAGGGGCTCAGTGAAGACTCAGTGGCAGATTCGTGCAAAGTAACGTACACGGAGCTACTTCAAAATGGAGTCGGAGCCGCCCCCCGAGAGGAAGGGCCTTGCAGGTCTCGCTCCTCCGACCTTCGGAATGTGAACACCGGGCAAAGGAGCCTCTGGGCGGACTGGGCCTACAGCAGCCCTGGATTCCAAACAACTGTTTGTGAAGATACCAGGAGAGCCGCTCTCATGACTGCAAACTGAAGACATTCTTCAGGATGAGCATCGCTGCTCAGATTATCCGCTCCCTTAGCTTCTGTACCGCACACAGGAATCCCTTCCTTCTTGTCATGCCGTCGTCCCCTTCCCTTCCTCACTCACAGCCCTTGCCTTCACCTCCTAACGGGAACACTATGTGGCTTCCTGCCCGAATCAGTGACTCCCGAATAGCTCTTCTTCTGGATCTCAAAGAAACCCTGGTTGCCTCTCACCTTGACCTTGTCTTTTAGGTTCACATATCCTGCTACTGAGTCAGATCGGCCCTTGACCGTTCACCTCGCTATTCCAGGTTCTGTGTGCCCTGGACCATGACGCCAGCCCAAGGAGGCACCCCTGTCTGCACCTGCCGCGGAGGAAGCGGGGGCTCATGTCCACGGAGGTTCAAGAGCTTCTCAGCCAAGGTCAGGAGGCTGGCCAATGAGCAAGCTGGGGAGGGGAAGCCAGTCTAATCCTGAGGAGCTCTGGGCTTTCAGGGGAGGTTTTCCAGGAATGTTAACTTTTAATAATAATTAACTCCCCAGGCACCAAACTCAGGAGGTGAAAAGGCTTTGAAAATAAGAGAGGACTGCAGGCGAGAGAAGGACTCAGCTTGTCTGTTCTCCGGAAGTCTTTGGTGGGCGATTCTCCACCCTCCAATAGGCTGCACAGTCAGAGTCTGCCCACCCCCACCACACACTCGCGTGCATGTGCACTCTCATGCACACGCACACACACCTTTGGGGGGTGTTGTCCATCAAGACGGGACACGCTGACTGTGGCCCTGAAGAAGGGACACCGGGCAGGGAGCCCATCACCTGCAGCACTACCTCCCATGCAGCACCCCCCACTTCGAGGTACCCAGGGAGGAGCAGGGGCCTTACCTGCCAGGACCTCCGTCCTCTCAAAGATGCTGCTGCCCTGGGCAGTGCTGGACATGGACACCCTGTTCGATATCTCCTCGACCCCTTCAACAGGTGGCGAGAGCTTCTTGGGGATGACCTCATTCTCCTCCAGCTCCTTGGGTTCCGAGGGGACCCGGCTTCCAGGCCCCGCCCTCTCAGGAATGTGGTTATCTAAGGGCACCTGGATGGGGGAGGGAGAGGAGAGAGGCTCAGCACCGCAGGGGAGGGGAGGGCCCTGCAGCCCAGTGGGGAAACTGGTTCCGCTGTCTCCCTGAACCACGTGGTCCGCATGCAGAAACCAGCCACAAGCTCAATAACTAGGCCATCGGATCCCTCCCCTCCTCAACTGATCTCGTGGATCCGTCTCCAAACGGGAATGAACAGTGTCACCAAGAGTCAGGGGAAGCAGGCGTCCCCTCGCTGCTACTGGGTGGGGATTCTGAGGAACCACTCTGTGAGGAAGGTTTGGCAAAACTGCAGAATTGCCTTTAAGGCAGCAATTTCTCCTCTGGGACTCTATCTTAAGATGCTAATCAGAGATTTGGATAAGAGATGCTTGCTGTAGTTTTATAATTTTAGCATATCAAAAATTGCAAGCCACTTTTCCATCAATCAGGGCAATCGGGCGAACTAGAATTATGCGGCCTCTAAAAATAGGAAGAACATTTAATTACGAGGGAAAACACTCTCGGCCACTTTCAGCGGAAAACGCAGTGCCCGGAACTGTGGGTACCACTTGACCTCCATGTTGGGGAATGCCTATGAAAGCACAGAAAAGGGGCCGGAAACACTTCTAAATGTTGGCAGTGGTCACCCTGGCAGGGAGGACGGCCTGTCTGTGACCCACAGAGGGGCCCGCCCCAAGCGGTCACAGCCCAGGGTCACAGATGAACGTCCTCTTGCAGGGCGAGGTCAGACCCTCACTTTCCCCGCCCCCTTCCGCAGCCATCACAGAGGAGCAGGGGGAGAGGCAAGGCCTGAGGTTACTTACCAAGGGGTGGATGACTTCGGGGAACACCCGGGGGTCCTCGGGCTCATCTGCAAGGTCAGAAGGGCTGTGTGAGTGAGGTCAGGTATCCCTGGAAGAATGACCCCTTTTTGGCCACAGCTGCTGTGGGTCCAGACTTAGAAGCAGCTCCCGAATGCTCAATGCCCAGCAAGGGCCCATCCTCACCCCAGCCTCAGCCACCTCATCTGTAAAATGGGGCTCCTACCCCCTGCCTCCCTGGCTGTTTTTCCTAGGAATGTGGAGCTGGTAGTTGGGTAGATGCTTTGTCAGCTCCAAACCCTTGCTCAGGAAAGGGTAGATCCGGGGACCCATAGCACCCCTGGGTGCCAGACAGAAATACAGACTTTCAGGGCCCACTGAGCCTGCATCTGCATTTTGGCAAGATCCCCAGGAGACTCCTTTGAGAAAACAAGACCCTAGATCACAATATTCAATATCAGAAACTGCAATATTAAAACATGTACTCAGTGCTTGGTACATGCAGAGCTTCAACTGCGTCCAATGCCTGAAACACAGATGTAGTGTCATTTCTATTCCCATTTTACAGACTTGGAAACTGAGGCTTGGAGGCCATCGCCTGGCAGTTTGAAGTCAGGATCCCAGGACTCCAAAATCCAAACTCTGAATCATTCCATCCTGCACACAGGATGGATGTTTCCGAGTAGCTCCGTGGGGTGCAGCATCCGGGGCCAGAAAGTCGCAAAAGACCTGGCGACGCAGCAGCCCCAGATCCAGCCCCAAGAAGCCCGGGCACCTTCACCCACCCCGCCCCGTCTGAAGCTGGGGCTTGCTCTGGGCGTCCCACCTCCACTCCGGCCTTGTAGGCCCCCAGGTCTGCTTCCCCTTTCCAAAGGTAGAAAAACAATCAGTTCTCCCACCCCAGCCCACTCCCATTATGCCCTAGAGGTGGATGGGTCTAGGCCGATGCTCGGAAAACCTGGAGCTACAAGCGAGCAGCCCAGGGCAGGTCTCAGGGGTGGACATGGCTGAGCCGGTTCCTTTGTTTCTTCTGTTTGTGGGGGAAGGGGCACTCTAGAAAACCCCCGCAACAGTCCAAGGCTCAAGGCATGGTCAACCTCCCAGGGGGAGAGACCACCCTCCCTCCAGCCCCTGACCCAGCCTGGCCTTCACCCCCTCCGTACCCAGGTCTCCGGAGCCAGAGAGCTCGAAGTCGTCGGACTCCTGCCCGGGCCCCCCGACATCCTCGTCGTCCGGCAGTGGCCCGGAAGGGTACCGGCTTTCTAGGTCGTGGGGGTCGATGACCTCGGTCTCTCGGATCTAGGGTGGAGAAAGGAGACAGATCAGCCAGTAGCCCCTGTAATGGTCTGCAACAGCCCCTAAGCCCCGAAAGGCAGTGAAACGGGCATTCGAGGAGGAAAACTGAGGTGCTGGAAGGGGGCCAGGCCTGAGCCTGGAGTCCTGGCCCCTCCTGGCCCCCCATCTGCTGTGTGACCTTACGTGGGTCCAGTCCCCACTCTGAGCCAGTAAAAACGATAAGGGTGGTAATAATCAGGGAGGAAATACAGTACCAGGTGCCATTTCCTAAGCACTTAGTATGTGTCAGGCCTTGACTTTCTAAAGTCTAAAGGTATGACTTTCCCCCCATTTCACAAGCGAGGAGAGTGGACAGTAAAGACTCGAAATCACTTTCTTTTGATGACACAGTGGCGGGTGGAAGGCTGAGGACTCCACACCAGGCAGCCTGACTTCAGAGCCAGCTTCCCCGCCTACCGCCCCGTCACAGGCCGGCCAGAGGATATGCCCGCCAGGCTTCTGGCGGGAGCCAGAGCCCCGTGATGCCTCCCCAGCAGATTCGCTGCGGGCGGAGAGGGCTGCTGGCTCCGGGACACCTTTCCGAGCTGAGTCAGACGCGCCTGGGACGGGCTCGCTGGCTCACCCACACGTCAGGACGGCCTCAGGTCAGGGTGTTGCCCACAACAAGTGACTCAAGAGTGCGTGAGTGTCCTCGTATACTCCGGCTTCCAAAGGCTCCCACGGACCCAGGCTGCCTGCCACCAACGCCGGGGCGAGGCACAGCTCCTGCCCCCGGACCACGTGCTCCAGCATCCATACGTGTCCTTCAGCCCTACCCCATGGGGACCCACCCGGTCACAGCAGAATCTCAGGCCCACGCCCACCGAGACGCTTTTCAAAGGAAAGGAACAAAGGTCCAGGGAGGGAAAGAACCTTCTTAAGGGTCTTTGGTGCATCAGCTCCTGCGCTCGCATCACCTGGAGCTCGGGGGCGGGAAGCGCTCGGACCGCCTACCCCCTGTCCTCTGAGCTGCGGGGCTGAGGTTCTGCCTGCCCACAGAACAGCGGCCTGGGCCACGTTCATTTCGCTAATTACTCACATATTAAAGTGGCCACTATTTGCCAGAGGGGTAGGGTTTCAAGAAGGAGAATTGGCTCCAAAGACAAGGATGCCCTTGCAGGAGGGGCCCGGCCCCTGCAATGGCTCCCAGGCAGAGGCGGCGGCGGGAACCTGCTGGAAGCCCTCTCCACCCCCGCGAGGGCACGTGCTGGATTCCCAGAAGGGAGCAGGGCCGGGCCGGGAGGGCGGCGGTGGGCAGGCAGCCCGCCTCCCGCAGGACGGCAGAATCTTGGCTGACCCCTGGGCGCCCACGGGGGTGAGGAGTCAGAGAGGTTAAGGCCTGGTGAGGGATGACTTCACGACTGGGGAATCAGGAGCTGCTGAGCCGCTGGCGCTGGAATTCCAGCCCCCGCACACAGCCCTGCGGCCGTGGCTTTGGTTGGGCAGCTCAGTGGTAGGGTTGCTCTGGGCAAGCCAGCAGCTGGTACCTCGGGTGGGGTCCCTGTGCCCCTGCCCCTTCTCCCATCGCCAGTTCCCTGGGGGCTCAGGACCCAACAGCAGGAGCTCGGAGGAGGCTCACCTGGCTAAGCGCTTAGCACGGAATGGTTCTACGAACAGATTTTTTTTTTCTTTGCAGAAGTGGAGGGGGCATGGGTGGCTCAGAAAGGTAATGTCGCCTTGGCTGGCGTAGCTCAGTGGATTGAGTGCGGGCTGCGAACCAAAGTGTCGCAGGTTCAATTCCCAGTCAGGGCACATGCCTGGGTTGCAGGCCATGACCCCCAGCAACTGTACATTGATGTTTCTCTCTCTCTCTCCCTCCCTTCCCTCTCTAAAAAAATAAATAAATAAAATCTTTAAAAAAAAAAAAAGAAAGGTAATGTCACTGGCCCAAGTTCACACAGGCAGAAAATGGCCCCACTGGACCAGAACCCAAGCATGGGTCCCTTGAGCCTTTATCTACATACATGTAGACCCACATGCATAAACACATGTGCAGAGAGAGTGCCCGCCTACCCAGGTGGGAAGGGAGCAGAAGTCACACCAGCCCAGGAGGGAAAGATGGCAGGTACGACGGCCACCTGTTGGCCTGGCCGGGAGACTGGACTGGCTGTGGGAGTCAGAGCCCCGAGTCCTCTGGACAGGGGCTGGGGTACGGGCGGGACTGTTTCAGGACCCTCCTCACGCCCAGGAGCCACACTGTCTCCTGCCTCCCAGTGGGTGAGGGTGTTTCAGCACGGCCCGCGCCAACCGGCTGACAGTAACTCACCTCCGCCTTACGTCGGTGAGAACAAAGACCCCAGGGAGGTGCATATGGCCATCTCCTAGCCAAATCTGCACAACGGAGGCCGAGCCAGACTCATTCCCAGGTCAGCCCTCCACGTGGCCACCTGGTCTCCCTTAACCCTTCGTGTTTATGCCAGGCCCCTGGACAGGATAAAGGACTTGTCTACGGTCACAGCAGATACCTGTCCTGGCTCTGAATGGTCGGGGTCCCTAGGGGCCGCCTTAGACGAGCCCAGGTGCTCTCCTACAGCAAGTCAAGGTGGCCTGAGAGAACGGGGAGGTGTGCGGTAAGAGGAAACAGGAAGTTAAATTCCTCTTCAACTCCAGAAGCACCCTCTCTGCCCTCGACCCTGCCGACAACAGGGAAATTCCCATGTGGGCAGGAGCCCTGTAAGACTAGGCCAGCAAGCCAGGATCCTACTGCAGGGGCTTGTGGGTAACCATCCCCTTGTGTGTGGGGGGGGGGAGGGGTGGCGTGGGGTGGAGGGCAACAGCCCTCCCTTCCCCCGCCCTCTTTCCAGCAAGGCTTGTTCAGTCCGGGTGGCTCTGAAGGGCCAGGCCACCCATCAGCCACGCCCAGCCCTGACCAGAGGAGGACCCCACCCTCTCCTGGCTAAGGATGTGATCTGTTCTCCTCCCTCACCCCACCCCTGCCCAGAGAGCATGTAGCCACATGCACGTGCATGCACAGGCATGCTCTCTGGGCCCTCAGGCTTCCCTGTGACTCTGCCCTTCTCACAGGCATGCAGCAGAAATGACCAGGTGAGCGGCTCTGGACGCGGGCCTCACGGACCCCTGCTGGCCCGTGGCTGGCGGGCGCCTGGGGCGGGCACCTGGAGGTTTGGAGATGCTGGGTGCTTGCCCACACTCTCCACAGAAGGAAGGGGGTAGGGGCTGCTTTGTTCTAAAGCAGGGGTGTCAGACTCATTTCCACCGGGGGCCACAGCAGCCTTGCGGTTGCCTTCAAAGGACCGAGTGCAGAGCTCCTGGCCCTTGGTTAAGCAGTAGTTACATTTACACAGTCCTAAAGTTACATTCGGCCCTTTGAAGGTAACCGCGAGGCTGCTGTGGCCCCCGGTGGCAATGGGTTTGACACCCCTGCTCTAAAGGGATTGACACCTACCGACAGAAGGCACCTGAGGCCACAGAGCCCAAGTGTCTCATTTTATTACCCAGCAAACAGATTAAAAGACAAGAGGCTTCCCAAGGTCACCCAAGCAGCTGGCGGTGGAGCTGGACTTGGAACCCAGATTCCCAGGCTCTCGGGCAGGAGTTGTCCTCCCCCCCTGCCCTTCCAGGCTTCTGGCTGCCCACAGGCTGCAGCTGTCACTCCAGATACGCGCCCAGTCCTTATGCTACAGGCATAAAGCTAGGAAGAGGTCACCAAGCCCGTCCCAGAGTCCCACAGCTTTTGACGCCCAGGAGAGGTGTGGGGGCTGGGGTGGCTAGCACGAGTATCCACCGCATGCTGGGCACCCGGCCGGGGCCTTCTCTGCGTGAGCTCGTTTTACGGGCACAAACTGGTGGGGTGTTCTACCCATTTTGCAGGAAACTGAGGTTCGTGGCGTTATTCCCCCAAACTTGATAGAGCTGGACAGTGACAGTGCTGGGACTCCACTCTCCACCTTTCTCAAGACTGCGCCATGGCCGCAGCCAGACTCCTCGCCACTGCCCACGCTCCCCACTCTGCCCCAGCCCCACAGCCCACGGCCCCACAGCCCAGGGCCAGGCCAGGGCTCCAGCGTGCCCCCTCCCCCAGTCAGGGAGGGCACAAAGGCGGAAGTGACAGTGCTTCAACCAAAGAACGGAGACGCGGCTGGGGCACCGGGAGAAGTTCAGGGTCAGGGCCTGGTTGACTACGAGCTGGTGAGAGGGAGAGGGAGGAGAGCTTGCCCCCAGCTGGCTCTTCCCCAGGGGAGGTGGGTCAGGGTCAGGGACACCGGAGGCACCCTGGGGCACCAGAAGGGCACTGGGTGTGCCATATTTGGGGAGAGGGTTGCTGAGCATCCTGGGCTCCAAGACCAAACCCACCGGAGCGATGCTGGCAGGAGATCTCCGGCAGGGGCCGTTGTCAGCAGCACTGTTCTCCCCCGTCCTCCTTCTGAAGGGTCAGCCGTGCCCCAGAATGAGCAAAACCTGGGGCCCCAGCCAGGACTCTCTCTCCCTTGGCAGAAAGCAAGACCACACCAGAGTGGTTACCCGAAAAGGCAGATCCACAGGCTCAACTGTGTGAGCCTGGGGGCTCCGTTCACACCTGACCCCTCACACCTGACTCCTCTCTGTGCCACTAAGGCTAGAAGCCCCCGGCAGGATGGTGAGGACTAAGTGAGATGCCCTAGCATGCCCCCAGGGCCCCAGCACGTGGCCTGGCACCCAACGCTCAACGAATATGGCTCTTATTAACCCCCGCCCGTCTTCCTTCTGGGTGCGGGGTTACCGGTCCAAGGGCCAGAGAGACCTGAGAAAGGTCACTGAAGCAATGCCACTGCAGAAAGAAGGTGGTCGAGGGTGCCTCGCCAGCTGCAGAGGGACAGAGCCTAGGACGGGTCGGAGACTTTCCCGCAACCAATCACACCCCGTCCGGGCTGTGCAAGGGCGAAAGACCCCAGGGTGGGCCGAGCCCAGCCCGAGGTCACACCAGTGCTCGGGGCACTGGTCCCAAGCAGACAGAGGCAGAGGAA